GCTGTCAGCATAGAGCCCAATGCGGGGCTCAAACTCACAGACCTTGAGATCATGAACTGAGCCAAAGTCGGACACTTAACTGGCTGAACCATCCAGGTGCCACAGATTGCTTAATTTTTTAAAATGAGAACAGGAGAGCCTGGGTGGCTCAGTTGGTTGAGAGACCAACTCATGATTTTGGCTCAAGTCATGACCCCAAGGTCATGGGATTGAGTCCCTCGTCAGGCTCCACACTGAGTGTAGAGCCTGCTTAGGGTTCTGTCTCTCATTCTCTCTCTTCTGCGGTGATAGATAGATAGATAGATAGATAGATAGATAGATAGATAGATAAAAAGATGAGAATATCTCATTGTTGTTTTTCAGGTAAAGTGAATCCAAAGCATGTTACGTGACAGTGTTGATGAGGTGGTTCTAATATTGTCAACTTTAGGAACCTTCTGGGAGTGCCCAAGACATACACTGGGATATGCTGATTCGGTGAGTCCAAGTGGGGCACCTCTATGGATAGTTTATACGTTTACATAAACACGTATTTATGTTTTATGTAAAAGATCTTTCTCTGTGTAAAACACACATGAAAGTCTGATGACCTACCTGCAAGCTGGATCTTGGAAAGCATCGCACCTGCCTGCGACAAGCCAAGAGGTGTGAACATGACTCAGCTCAGTGTAAGCTGGAACACACTGGTCACAGTTACCCTGGGCGTGGGAAGCCCTGGACTCCTTGCTGTGCTGGCTGAGCAGAGCCCCAGGAACCGAACCTGGGTCATCGATGTGGCTATGACACCACCGAGCACTGCCCGGTGTTACAGGCACTTTCTCTACCTGACACGGCTCTGCTGAATTTCCCCTCGGTCCTGCGGGACCCGGATTCTCTTCTCTGCCTGATCCCCCCCCACCCCAACTTCATGCCCATGCTGCCATGACTCAACAAGACGGCATCCGGCCCCCGAACTCAGGGACCTCTTCTCTCTCATGTACTCGCACTTTCTAGGGATCTCGTCCAGTCACGGCTTTACCCAAAGTCTGTGTGCTGCTGACTCTCAAATGTATGTCTTCCACACAGACTTTGTCCCAAACTCAGAGTCAAATATTTGGTGGTCTTCAAGTCAGCTGCCCTTGGAGGTGTCAGAGCCAACTCAGAACTAATGTGTCCAGCACTCACGTCATAACCGTCCCCACGCCATGGGAGCCAACCCTTCAATAAACAGAAACTCCTCCTCCCACTTAACCAGACTGAAAACCTAGAAGTCAGACACTTCTGGGGCTCTCATATCCCGTAAGCAAACTCTGTTAGCATGGACTTCAAAATATATGCACAATATCTGCACCACAACCAGCACCCACACCACGCCAACGCCCTCCTTCCCCCATCACTGCCAAGGCCTCCTCTCAATGCTCCCTCACGTTGCGGATGCCTCCCTGGAGCCCTTCCTCAATATACAGCCAGGCGTCCCTTATTCTGCACAGCCCTTAGTACCAACTGATTTACAACATCCTTTATGTCCTGTCCGCCTCCATTCACAAGAATGAAAGCTGTATGAGGGGAAGATTTGGTTTTTTATCTGTTTTGTTCACAGATCCGTTTTATCTGTTTGTCTTCCCAGCATGGAGGCCAGTGCCTGGCACACATCAGGCTCTCAGCAAACAGTTGCTGGATGAATAGATGAATGACTTTGATTTGTGAGGCAGTATTTCTGTTTCCATTTTGAACCCTGTCAGTTGGAACGAGTGAGTCCTAACAAGACAGTGAAGTGAACCGAGGGGCTGTCTCTGGCTTGAAACAAGAGACCGGAAGCAATCCCTCTTCCTGTAGGATTCGACCTGTATCCTAGGAAAAGGACCTACTGACTTTTCTGCGAGGGAACCTAGTTTGCAAGCTAATCATCTCTTTAAGGCAAGAAAAAAATTTTTAATGCATAAGGATAATCACAGGTGTACATGTTCTCAGGGATGTACCTGAATGTCTCTATGCTGAAAACAGGTGAATTCTCCAGTTATTGTAGGTTCATAGGAAGAGCTCAAACTCATCTCCTCTCCTAATAGAGAAATTCAAGTTTAACAAGGTCTGCTAGTATTAGGTATTGTGTTGTCTTAATATGCTCCATTCGGTACATAATTACTTAGTTCCCTAGAAAACTGTCCCGCACCTTGGATGTGATCATAATAATCCAGAAAAATACTCTCCCGTTTACAAAACGTTATGAAACATGCAACATAACTCATGAGAACCACCTATGCAGAAATAATGCTTTCAAATATTTGAATTGGTAATATGTGCTTTATCTTACCTTAAAAGTAAAGCCCTTTCTGACAACTCACAATATCAAGATGGTATACTTCCATTACCAAGATGAGACACCCCCAAAATAGTCACTGTCCGATTACGAAGCCAACAGGAATTGGAGAGAGCATCTGGTTATTGCCCTGATTCTCCTCTGTAAGCCAGATACTCACGTGGCCATTCGTTCGCTGTAGATGTCAGTGGAGACGCAGCCTGTCCTATCTGTCTAATCTGAAGGATTTCACTCGCAGTCCTAAAATTCCCATATCCAAGCCATCCCCTGCCTTGTGACATGCTTCCCTTCATTACGAAGGAAAATATATTCCCTTTGCTGCATTACACAACATCTCTTCTTTCCATTTGCCCAATGTCTTAATTGCATTAGAATTTAGAAATGTCTGCTTGGAAGTCTGCATGTGAAAAAGAAATACACACACAATCTATTATAATAAAGCCCTAAGGTACTGTACAGCTTATTCGTTGGTGCTTTTTAAAAGAACGGTAAAGGCCTTAGGGTTAGAGAGATGAAGTGACTTGTCCAAGGTCATTCAGGTAATGGTGGCAGGGGAGTGGGGAGTGAGAATGAAAACGAGGAAGGTGAGGCTCTAAAAACACACCCACACATGCCACATCCCTACATGTATTATATGTCCTCACCACAACTATGGGCCAGTGTCCCTGGACACAAAACTTGGAAACCCCTTTCACGGGGAAGGTGTCTGTGCTAATAGCCTAGTGCAGGGCCTGACAAATGTCCTCAGGGAAGGGGCAGAGAGTAAACACTTCAGGATCTGCACACCAG